GGCTTGATCAATACACTGAGTGTCTTGGATACATTCATACCTGTCCGTACAAACGAAGTACGTACGCACGACAAACGAACTCATCAAGTACAGCCCTCGTGTATCGTCACACGCACGAAGCATACGAATAAAACGCACTCTTTCGTGAATGTTCCCTCACGTCATTCACACGCACATTGCGAAGCTACACGTTTTATAATATGAATCCAAGTCCAATTCTTTAATGCACATACACTCAAATAAATCCGGTTACTTTGTACAATAAGAGATGCACTTCATTTACTCTCTTGTGGGTCATTCTGACATAGTTTACTCCGTCATTAGGGCGTAGCAGTGCTACGTCCGCTCTCTGCTTGTGCAATGGATGAGAAAATGTGCGACTATCTATACAATAGAGTACAATACTTTTTTAGTAATAAGAATTTAATAATAACAGCAATTTAATACTAATAATAAATAATTAATTATTTATTGTTAAGTAAAATTTTATAATATTAATATAATAATAACAATTTATTAATAATTTCATAATAATAATAATAATAATTTACTATTATTGGTAATTCAATAATAATATACTAATAATAATAATTATTCAATAACAATTTATTAATAAAAATAATTTAATTATAATAATTTATTGGTCACTCAATCAATAATAACTTAATAATAATAATTACTTATTAATAATAATTAAATAATAATCTAATGGCCACACAATAAGAAGACAGGCTCACACTACACGCACATGTACGTGTCAGCCTAATTATTCGCCCAGGTATCAAACGTACGCATGAGCGCATCTAATCGATGACGCGCACGGACTCAACACACGCACCAACATACGCATCGAGACTTGGCCTGCGCATTAACTTTGTGTGATAAAATTGAATTGTTTATGAATTCCTAAAGAACCTTTGAACTTTCCGGTATTATTTAAAAACTATTCGATATCGGCATCGAATATCTCGTTTTTTATTAGTTTTGAATCGTTAATGAATTCTTAAACAACTTATGAACATTCATGAATTATTTAGAATTATTTTATTATTTATTATTATTTTATTATTATCATTTATTTCTTTATTTTATCTGCATCGTATATCTCGTCTTCTATTAATTCTGAATGACTATATTATACAACTAATTCTTCACCAGTTTACTCGTTAACATGCATTCCTACGCAATCCTACTCATTAACATGCATTCCAACGCAATCTCACACATTAACATGCATTCCAACTCAATCTTAATCATTAACATGCATTCCAACGCAACTCGTTAACATGCACTCTAACGCAATCTTACTCATTAACACGCATACCATCGCCATTAACATGCATTGCAACGCAATCTTACTCATTAACACGTATTCCAACACGATCTTACTCATTAACATGCATTCCAATGCAATTTCACACATTAACATGCATTCAGACGCAAATAAATTCACGTCTATTTCCAGCGACACCCACAGATATAACGATGCGACTACCGCTTGACAAGCGCGTCGCTCTGTTTTCTTTTGTTGTCCAGAGCCCCGCGGGTGACGTGGGGTGTGGGGATGAGGGGAGTTAACCAAGGCCCCAAAGGGACATGAGCAGGTCAACCTAATTTGTGCAGGTCACACTTTTAGAAATATATGGGTCACATTGTACCAGTAGTGACACACTTTCTGCATGTATACTTTTTTCCGGGATAATTTGGGTCAGGATTACTCAAGCTTAGGCGAAAATTGCATTGCTATTAGGGAAAATTATCCACATTTCTCTAATTTTTGGTAACGTGAGGGAAAATTTATTTGTGTATGCCGGGTCAAGAGACCAAACTTGATAAATTCTAATGCCCAATTTACGCAGTTAGACAACTGAGCTCCATAATTTAGAGGAACTGAAATATTGAATAAATATAAAGCCTAATTTGCCAATTAGAGCGCCCGTGTACTTAAATAAAGTTTTTAATGTATTAAATTAGGGAGCTCAATGTTCTCAACTAGGGTGCTGATGGAATTAAACCAGAGCGTCCAATGTTGTTAATTTAGGTGCTCAATGTTTTTTAATGTAGTAAAAAATTTCGAAAAAATAGACGCCTACTTTTTACCACCTAATTCACCAATTCCGGAATAAACTTTAAGAATTATTTCAAAAATTTGGTACACTTTTTAAAATAAATTTACACATTTTGTTTCATTATTACCATCGTATTTTATTTGTTGTTGTGTATACCTTGCTCTCATATATTATTTAATTTCTAGCTTTATTCTGCTTCTTATAGGAGGCTTTGGCTGCCAAAGGTGGAGAAATTTTTCTCTCCTGCTAAAGTCTACCTGGAATTTTTATCTCATCTGAAATTTTAATATTTTTCCGCGATCCCACACAGTGCGACTAGTGTTGAATGTTAACATTTGCAGGGGACCATATCTTGATACAGAGCGATAAATTCGGCAAGTGTTGTAAGTCCTGCTTCGATGACTCTAACAATGATTTAGTTACTCGAATGGCATGTGCTCGAAGTTGATAATTTATTGATTATATTTTTAAATTCTGTGTTTAAAAAAATGAAAATAAAAAATTATATTAAAAATTTAATTCATTATTATTTTTGACATCGAAAATCATGGAGATAAAGCTCGGTAATTTAATATGTGTGATTTAATGACCACTCTACGTTTAATCATCATGTTGCCTCACTTTGAGCATCAGATGAGTAAAATGAGAGGTAAAAGATAATAATAATAATAATAATTATAATAATAATAATAATAATAATAATAATAATAATAATAATGATAATAATAATAATAATAATAATAATAATAATAATATATATAAATAGGTAAGTTAATTACAATCAAATGAGGCCACAATTTTTATTCAATTTTACTTCAACCCCCCAAAATTATTGAATTCTGCGTCGCCATTAATTATTTGACTAAAGGAGTAAAATAAATAAATAGCAACTACCTATAAGAATTTTAGGGGTTCAAATGAATTGGTACGAAGACTGTGGCCTTTTTTGCCTGTTATTTCAATCATCTGATTAATCTAAACTTTATTCATATTTTATTCGACAATATCAGATTTTATTCCAAACAAATAAAGTAAAACGATGAAAGATTCTTATTCACCATTCATGAATAAGGACTACGGCATTTCCATGTTGTAGTTCACTCTGATATTTGTTGCGCATTGGATTGCTCCCGTTAATCTTTCATCTGAGTGACCTTTATTTTATTAGTTACGGCATTTACACTTTTCTTGCGTGGATACTTAATATCGTTTACTATTTAAAATGTATGTCTTTTTGAGTTGAATTTTCAATCAACTTAATATTAAGTATTTTGTTTTGTTCTATATAACAAACTTAAAATAATTTCCTGAGAATTATTTTTTCCAGCAAGTTGCCTATGCGTTACCAGAATAGAAGAATACTTGAGAATAGCGTCATCCTGAATCTCCATATTATAAATGCCCGTTAAAAATATGAATACCTGTAAATATTATTACACTTCAGTGGGGATAACAGCAGTGTATGGTAATTAAAGAATCTCCAGTACAAAGCCTATATGACAGAACAGATAAGTTCCAAATCATATCCGTTTCAAAATTTAGCAAGCCACTCTGCGATCTAACAACAAATTTATACGTACTACTTTCAAAGTCACATCCTCCCTGTTCTCTAATCCTAACCTCTCTTCCCTCCAATCATTTCCCCCCATTTCCTCAAATAATTTCTACCTTTTCTTCCCTTTTCTTCAATCCTTCTCTACCTTTCCTTCAATCATTTCTTCCCTTTCCACCAATTATTTCATCTCATTCCCCCCATACTTTCATCCCTTTGCTCCAATACTTTCATTCCTTTCTTCGAATCCTTACCTTTCTTCCCTCCAATCTTTTCCTCCCTTTTCTACAATCATTTGGTCTTTTTCCTACAATCTATTCATCTCTCCTTCAATACTTCCCTATTCTCCTACTAATAATGAAATTTCAGGCACCGGTTATATCCCCATACGTTCTAAGTATCCTGGATAAAATTTCTAACAGTCCTTATTTCAATATGGCGCTAGTCTTCTGCAACACATATAATATTTTATAAAATAGATATGCCACAATTCACTATGTGGAAACAATTATTTACATAATTATTATCATAGATTATATTATTTATTATATGTGAATAACATCACAAATTGGGCGTATGTCTGCCACTAAACATGGTATCATGGATACCGTTGTTGTTGTACTCAGACCGGTCCCTTGAGGAGCCCGCGCCGTGGCACTAAATTGGCAGTGCGTGCGCCAGAATGGTATCCTGGATACCGTGCGTGTTCCACGATAAAGTAAATACCAACGCTGGACTAACATCCCGCGATGAAGTAAATACCAACGCTGGACTAACATCCCGCGATGAAGTAAATACCAACGCTGGACTAACATCCCGTGATGAAGTTAATACCAACGCGGTCATAACCTGCTCTCCCAATGGCTGATTTACATCTAGAAATTTAGGAAATGACGCAAAGAACAACAATGATACGAATTTGTCATTTTTCAATAATTCTCATGTTTTCTTCATTATTGTCCATAGAGTCGACTTGAGAACAATTGTCAGCAGTTCAGTGTGAGTTTTCGGTGAATTGATGAATTTTGTAGTGAAATTAATCATGAATGTAATTTTGTAAACATGCAGCACTCATTTTGGAAGCGCGTTTATTTAACTTATAAATATTCAAAAATAACTGTGAACTTTCGCGCTAATGAAAGTCATAATTTTTCGGATCAATGCAATCTAAATAAATGAAAAAGTCTTATTAAAGTTTTTCTCTATTTTCAGGATTGGAATATTGTACTTATTTACCTTATCTCGTAATCTATCACTGAATAAAAGACACAACGACAGGTTTAAGCATAATTAGTAATGATATAATACGAGTAAAATCAATACACGACATACAATAACACTCGTAAATATAATATATACAGTAAATAAATCATTCTTACCTGATTTAAATGATGGGAACGTTGATAAAAATCTGAACTCCTCGCAACCGAACTAATCAACCGCTTACTCGACTCATTTCAACCTAACCGGAAACTACACAAAACCGGAGGATATAACCACTGAAGGGCATCACTAATGTCACTACACACAATCTGTGGGGTAAATAGTGGCGTGTTAGTATTAACTTAAACTCAAGAGTATCTAATTCATTATTATTAAATAATCGACCATCAATAAGAAGGTTCTTAATGAGGGTTCCGATACATATAAGGCAAAGAAAATGCCATGAAAATTCACCACATATTAAAAAACGTGATTGGTCTGAATTTTGGAAATTAGGGTGAATTTTATTCGAATTTTCTACTGCAATTTATATCAACCAAGAAATAAATTACGGTTTTAATTTGTTTACTTGTAATAAATTATCAATATTCCAGGCTTAAATTCCAATTAAAACATTTTAAAAGTTGCAGGGAACATAACATTGACATTTTTCCATCATTGCTAGAACATCGTTTATTCGCTTCATTGGCGCAGCTTTGACTTGTCGGTATTTCGTCGATGTCTAAAGGCGGAACTATTTCGTACAGCCTACGAATCAAGTGCTTAGTCATTTTATCCGTACTCATCCTTTATCGGGTCTATTTATTTTTCACATGCTATTGATTGGTAGTATATTTATCTTTTTGCTTGCTATATATATATTTTGTGTGAAGTGCCACGAAATTTGCATGAACGAAACGCCACGATAACTGCTTCGTAGAATAATAATAATAATATAATAATAATAATAATAATAATAATAATAATAATAATAATAATAATAATAATAAAATTAGTATTAGTAGTAGCAATAATAATAATACTCATGATAATGATAATAATTATAATTCTATTCCTTATAACTGACATCCTTACTATTAGTATCGGTGGGTTATAATTAGCAACATGTAATAGGTAATGATAGACTAATTTCTTTATAAGAGAAGTGGTACAATTAAATTCAAGTAAATAAAGATATTTCAAATTTAAATGAGCAATAAATTCAGAATTTTTTATAATTTTTTATCAAATCAATGATGAAACTAATTAGTCAAAAACAATAATTTTACATAATTGTATATGAATTTATATCTTAATAATTACACGTAATTAATTGAAAAGAACTAACTGCCTGGACGTAATCAGTGTTTCACCAGCTTCACAACATTATATATCACTTTAGTTTTTGGTTTGTTTGTAAAAAGTTCAACTTTCTCCCGCTACCTAAAACTTGTTCGAATATAACACGGAGCTTAGCAGTGCTTTTTCTTCCAAACTGATTTACGCCTTTCGATAATTTCGAATTTGCGAGTCTCAAAAGTTAATTTAATGTTTTTATTATTATTATTATTATTATTATTATTATTATTATTATTATTATTATTATTATTATTATTATTATTATTATTAATATTTTATTATTAATATTATTATTATTATTATCATTATTAGTATTGTTATTATTATTCTACGAAGCAGTTATCGTAATCTAACTTCTAGGGCACGTTACACATAAGTTAAAACCTAATGTATTTTAAATACATTAGGCATCAACACTACGGAATATCTCACGTTTCCGCAGTATCAAAATAAGAATTTAAAAATCAAATTTCCATACTTCCTGCACATTTTTTTATTGAGGCGCTTCAGTAAATAAATAATATTGATACAAACCATTCAATGTCTATTTGATAATAATGATTTCGGTTATCGTATAATGTGTACGCAAATTTTAAATATGTACATATATCCATGTTGGTAATGTGAAAAAATAGAAACAGTATTCAATTTAGTCTTAACCTTTCTAATTGCTATATTTAATGGATGTCATCTTACTGGGACGGTATAGAAAGTCTTGAATAAGTCCTATTGCAAATATGGAATTTTGCGTTCATTAAGTTAATGTTTGTGTATAATTATTTTATAGTTTTTTATGAATTTGAACGCGATTCAGATAATTCTCACTAAAATAGTTCCATTGAATTGCTATTATATACCATTGAGAGCCTTCACTAACAGAAGTTTGAGCAATGAACAAACATGGCATTCATATATGAAATAATTCATAAAATGCTCAAAACTTCAACGAACAAACTTTACTTTGTAAGTATATCTTTGACACAATCCTACGATAGCAGAAACGAAAATAATATAATAAATAAATGGCTTTTCTTCTTTCTCGAAATAAATAAATGGCTTTCAACTTCTTTGATGAAAGCTTTTTTTCTTGTATTTTACATCTGTATTGCATTTTCACATTAAAAATATTGTTATAAACTTATCGCATTATGATACTACCATCTAAAATAAATATATTCAAGCGTAGGTTCATGTGACAGGAAACGGAGACAAGAACCACAGTAAGATGGTCACAGCCAGAATTTATATGGGGCGTTTTTGTGCCGTAGACTTTGTGCCAAAAACCTTAACGATTTCATTTTAGATTTGGAGTTGCTACATAACTTTCAAATATTAAACACCTTTATTGTGGTAAATGCAATCAGTAGTGTGATCGAACGTATTGCGCTACTTATATCTATGTTTTACAATGAAACTACCAAAAATTGACGGGATTCTTCGAGCGCTATAACCTCCCACCGTGGCTGCCACACCTACACTGAGGCAAACCCTAGGCCTGCGCCTCTCTTTGCAGCTCATGAGTTGCCGGCTACTCTTTTCGGGGGCCATTAACAAGGACCAATTTATTCCTCATTATTCTCAATAAATTGAGGCCTAGTAACATATTGCCGCCTCATGAACAACATGGACAAAAATGTTACGACAATATGGCGTCTGGCTCCCTGGCTCAACATCATCATGATATCACAGAAAAATGAGAGGTGCAATGTCGTTATATTGGTCGTTGTGTATGACCAGCAGAAATGTAAAGAAAAATATGGGGTTTGTAGTATCTGGCCGAGAAGTTATTAATATAGGTTATTAATGTTCATAGTAACGGAAATATTATTTCTATAATATAGGTTATTCATAAGAAATTAATAGTAACGGGTTATTAATGTTCTGAAATACATTTAAATGCTCTTTGAAAAAGTACAAGAAATGACGACGTTCAAGAAGCGCAAGGTTTTTTTAAAATAACAACGAAAATATTTGATTTTATGCGGTGGATGTCAAACCGTGTGTTAAATTCTTTAAAAACTTGTATTGTTATGTAATATTTGTGAATAAAAGTAGGCGCATGAATTCAAATTTGTTGTTATATTAGAATTGAACATCTATTATATCCGTTTAAGAATGCCACTAATTATACAGTAAATGAATTTCAATTATTCTGCAGACTTGATGAACATTTCACATGAAAATTTCACAACAATATTCGAAAAATTTGAAAATTTACATACATTTTCCTAATATTAAAATAATGTACAATATATTTTTATAATTAATTTTATTTATTTTTTATTTTTTTATTTTTTATTAGTTTTATTTTTTTATTAGTTTTTATTTATTTTATAAAAAAATATTCAAAGACAAATTATTTCGTTAACTAAAATGAATATTTTTTTCAGTGGTCTATCCTGCGACTCAAAAATTAACTTAAATTTTCTCAGGCAATAATTGTTTAATCCAATTGACCAAACAAAAAAAGGAATTCACAGATAATGAACATATTCAATGAAATTTTCACGAGAAAATCATGGACGATATGTTTTTCTCCAATCAAAAACGTAATCATGAATTAATGAATAAAAAGTCTGGCCCATCAACCAAAGAAAAACAATTGCCTTTCTACCCGGACAAAGTTTCACAATATTTAAGTTAGAAGGATAACATTACATGTATTAAATGGGAGCGAATAAAACGGCCCAATTACTTCATCACTTTCCATCGTCACAATGTCCTGTCACCCCTACTGTAAATAATGGTCGGTCAATTGTAAATTGCCTGGCGTACACATGTCCCTCTACACACTCCCATTTTTACCCCATACACACGCCTCCCCCCACACACTTGCTCCCACCCTCCCCCCACTCCCCCCCCACACCAGCACACCCCCCATGCAACATTCAATGAGTCACTACAACTTGACCCCAAGAATCAGCACTCGAGTGCTCATTGTTTGCCGCGCCAGAGGTACGATAACTGCCGGAGACATTTAGCTGTCATAAGAATATAATAATAAGAAGAGGTATAAATATACAAACGGTTCTTCATTCAATTAAATTAATGGATTATCTAATTTTGATACCTCTATTATTTACTGAATTTTATTTTAGAGCAATTCAGTGGAAATATAAATCAATTTAACATTCAATTAATTTCCAATAGTGGTTGATGTGGAGTTGAGATTCCTACGGTTTTTGTAAGCAAACATTGTAAACATCATCGCTTTATAATCCCTAGGGAAAATACTCGCGCATTTAAATAATAAATGAATTTCGTACGGACAATTACGAAATGTTTGTAGAGGCTTCCGTAGATTTTCGAAGACAATTCAACACGTTCGTACCCCTAAATACTATGATTATTTAATCCGCGTTAAAGCTATGTATATAAACATATCGAATTGTATTTAATAGCTACATAAATGAAGCATTATTTAGTGTAAGAATTCATAAGACGTATTTCATGATATTATTGCGGACACACGAGCGACGACACACATCCTCGCACGACGGCCGCCGCCGTACTACTGATCAATACATTCAGGGGCGAGCCGTTCACGCGGGCACCGTACATGTGTACACGGACGGCCACACGTACACACGAGGACACAATAGTGTCGCCATACACGCACACACATGAACTATACATGTAACCTCCCCCCCTGATACACGGCGGGGCACTATAGAGAAACACAATAAATACATATATTAAATGCTGTAACAAAAACATGTATTGAATGCGATAGTAAATACATGCATTAAAATTCAGTAATATTTATGTCGTGCCGAAATAATGGAATTACCGATCCTACAGAATCGGCAACCAGTTGCCGATTTTAGAATCAAACATTTCGTAGCTGATTTAGAAAATTGGACGTTAAAGTTAGAGTTAGAATATAAAACGACAGTTAGAGTTAGAAAAGGTTCGTTCATGTTCCTTTATATTTAAATATTAAAAAAGGACTTGGCTGACTGACCTAA